AAATTGATGTAATTTTCATTTGTAGAATTTTCTTTGAATGAAACGTATGCCTGCTTAGAAGACTGCACTGCATCGTTACATATGCTATTCCACCAAGGGACTGTTAATTTCCGTTTTTTTTTATTATTAAGAAACACCTTGCTACTGTTTTTGGACGTTATTTTTTGAGGGCTAGATTCTTCAATTGCTTCATTTAAAACATCACAGAAACTATTATATGAGTCAATTGCGCTATTGCTTGCTATATAAGATTGTAATTTTTTATTGACTAATGTTGAATATTTTTTCCAGTCTATTAGTTTGAGATTGTAATGGGTAGGTATGTTAGAATTATTGAAGCATGGTTGAAATTCTATTTCAGTTGTTACAGGGAGGTGATAGCTTCCAAGAGGATCATCGTGAACATCCCAATTACAAGACAGAGCAATGGAAGAAGACACTAGAGTGAGATCTATTGCACTTGGACTCCAGCTAGCTGAGCCTACTGTTGTCATCCTACCATCGTAGTATTTAGAGCTTGATGAGGAATATCATTTCTAATGGCAATTGCAACACCATTGTGTCTATTACCTGAGTCCAATCTAACAACTGTATAGCCTTTTATAGTAAATTTTAATTCTGGTCTTAACCATGTTTCTGACAAAAGAGCTATATGAACATTTTGTTCATATAGAAAATGAATTAGGCAATTTTTATTACATAAAACACTCTGAGCATTCCACTGGATTACCTTTAAAGCCATTATTTACTATTATAAGATGAAACTACTTCTTTTAGAGCCTCTTTAATATTACTGGAATTAGTTAAGCTATTTGTCTTAATTTTAATTAAACTTTGTACAAGAATATTTACAATATGATCATTTTCTAATAATTTTATTAAATCTTGTTTGAAATCATTAGTTTTTTTATTTGGTAATGGTGGAAATTGTTTTGTATTTACTATATCAAAATAAGTTACTGGATTGTTGATCTTTTTTTTGTTTTCAATTATTTTTTGCTTCTTAATGGGACATATTTTATCAATAGCAATATGACTGCCTTTACAATGAAAGCAATATAAGACTGGACTTGTACATTCCCTGTAATTGTGATTGTCACCACACTTTGAGCAACGTGCTGCATTCTTGCAAAAAGCTGCTGTATGGCCATATATTAGACAATTAAAACATTGTTTAATAGGTGGAATGTATTTCCTGACTGGAAAGAGCCATGAATTCAACTCTACAGATTCTGGTAAGCTAGTCGAAGCGAACGTAATTGAAATTGTCTGGGTTGGCGACAGCGCCACGACACCGTCGTCACCCTTTACTTTACGCATAAATCTGCGAATAGATATAATTTTTTTTGAACAAGTAAGATGTTTGTATAGTTTGAAATTGCTGTAATCAGTAGGTACACTCGTTATAACACCAATTTGTTCAGATGCTGACGCTGGTATGGACGCCTGTAATCTATGTTGCATGAAAAAATCTTTATTTTGAAGTGCTGCATTAGCCATGGCCGGTTTATCAAAAATAATCCCAAATTTATATTTATTTATTCTTTTAAATTGTTTAATACCCTTTATATTTCTTTGGAATATGTTCGATAGGTACATTAAGTCTCTATTGCCTATTGGTTTTGTGTCATCAGTGCTCGATATGAAAACTATGAACTCAGCATCGCCTGCATTTTCAGAATATGACCGAACGTAATTTGATAGTAAAAAAGGTTTATACTTAGACGCAGATTCTTGTTCTATGTCATCGAAAGTAGAATGATGTTCCGAAGATGACGAGCTGGAGGAGGACGCGGCGTCGTCATCACCTGGATTGTCTGCATCTCCACTCGGTTTACGTTTCCGCTTTTTAGATTTTACCCTACCCATTATAAAAATAGTAGTAAGTCGTAAACTTTTAGCAATTAGGGTAATTTAGAGAAATTAAAATAATTTTCAAAAAAGAAAAGAGTCTTTCCGTTTACAAGTTCCCGCGCGAAAAAAAACAATGTTTATTTTTTTTAAATGTTAATCTCAACTTTAGTATTTTAAATAAGAGACTAAGAAGTAACACTAGCTTTGTCGTAAGTAGTAGAAGGGATAACTTTCTAATAAATTCAAGTGTAAATGACGATTTGATAAAGATAATTAATTAAATAAAGTCAAAAGTCTGTTAAAACTTCAACAAATTTTAATGAGGACAATTGACAATATTTCGCAATACGCAAATACTTTATCTAAAACATCTGAGCAGAGGTCATACTTGAAACAAGTTCGAAACCTTTTATTGCCTTCATATCTACATACCTCAAATTGTTGAGAATAAATGTATTATCCATATTATTAATTCACTTTCATCACAATAAAACTAAATAAAAGAAAACAAAGACGATTTGACAACTATCCTATCTTCTTTGCCTGCAAATCTCTGTTTGTCTGTCTCACTTTCGCTTGTTGACTTGTTGTTGACCGACTTTTCCACAGAAAACTTTTACTCTAAGGAATGACAGGTTGGACACTTTAAATGACACCGTTGACATATTATTTGACAGCCAATGACATCGCTTCTCGGCCTTTTGGTTAAGACCAAAGTATAGTGCAAAGAGTAGTAGTATAGTGTATTTATTTTTGTCGAGATCATCATCGCCATCTTTCATTCATTTCATTTTCATTTTACATGTAGAAATTAATTTATTAACTTCACAATGGCAGAATTGTGCGAAATGCGCAGATAAGCCAATAATAAAACATGAAGAAAAAGTATAGTCTAAGTTATTTTTTATAGGGCTAAGAACAATGCGTAGTGACAGCAAATGTCACTATGACTATGATTCGTTAACAGTATTCTGATTCAAAACTGATTCGTTCAATTTAAGGGTGTGGTATATTTTACGGTGATGTATCGAAAGTTTTTTTAGTACAGTGTCATTTATGAGAAGGATCCAATCAAAGAGTACATTTCAAAAGGAAGTACTAAAAAGCACTTCCACGTAAACGGTTGGCCCAAAGGTAGTAATTTTCGTTCCTTTTAACTAACATATTAAAAAACTGGAATTTGCGAAGTTTGAAACTTACAAATCAATACAAATACGAAAAAGTACAAATAGAATATGAGTTGTTTATTGAGTTTTGAAAACTAATTTATTTTTAAACATAAAAGTAAACCATAGCGACATCTAGTTTAATTTCGCGAACTAATGTGTTTTTTTTAAATACTTCCACATTGGACATTATTATAGTAGTTTGACCTGGGGATCTCAATTATAATGTGTCAGTCGTAAGCTGTATGCTTATGCTGCGTCATTGAGGAGGTTGCGTAACTTTTTGCCTACTGCCAGTAAAATTGCTCTAGCACAATCTTTGTTGCTTCCAATACTTGATCAGGCCGATATATGTTATCTTGATCTTACGGAGGTCCAACTTAATAAACTTGAGCGGCTTCAAAACTTCTGTATTCGATTTATATTTGGATTGCGCAAATATGATCATATACCTCAATTTCGTACTTAGCTCAAGTCGCTTCCAATTCGTCTTCGTCGGAACGCTCATAATATTATCCTTCCTTTACAATTTTGTTTAAACCCTTTTATCCGCGCTATTTGAAAGAACATTTCAATCCGCTATACTGCTGTTCATCTGTATATTAATCTCACAACAATCCACCAAAGCTCACAAACAGAAGTTTACAAGCTCGAGAACTTCCGAATACAGTTTCGGTTTTTGGTCGTAGTTTCGGCAAGTTTACCACCGAAACCGAAACTACACCGAAACTCATTTTTTTGCCGAAATTCAACTGAAAACGAACTTTCAGTCGGATCGCGATGTTTTTTTAAAGATATTGAATGAATAATATCTTTAATTTTACCTATGAAAGGGATTGGGATAGATTTTGGAACTAGACATAGACAGATAGACCCTCTATGAAATAAAAAAAAAACAAAAAACTTTGTAGTAACCTAAACCAATAATTACGTCCAACGCTTGCTTTAGACAATTTCAATTAATTTTAAATTACCAATATTGTATATTCAATTGATGTAATCTTCAAGGTTCGAATTTATTGATTATTATCATGACTTTATTAGTTATATTGAAAATCATTAATCATCATTCATTATGGTCATCTAGAATTCATACAAATTCGGTTTTGTATATACCTACTTAGGGTATGTTCCGATATACACTGCGACCACTGAACAGTATGACGTCAATTTAGTATACTGGAAGCCCGTTCCTTTATAGCTAGTTATACTGGTAACTTTTTAAAACGGAACGCAGTCCAGTATACTGTTAATCCTATTTTTTGGCGCCATTTTCAAATTTGTTAATGCAAGGTAAAATTGGAAAAATATTATAAAATTGGAAAATTGTATAAAAAAATTATTTATCGATCTTATAATAAACGTAAGTATTTTTTTTGTTTATTTAGAAACTTATCATTTTCTGATTCTGTTTCGACTGATCACGTGATCAAAAGCACTGCGAGCACCTTACCTCGAAATCTCCAGTGCTCACAGTACAAATATGGCGGCAATTTATGACGTCATGAATTTCCCTAGGGTACTGTAGCAGTGTACTGGCAGTCCATAGCGGAACGGATTTTGCAGCAGTAAGACAACTGCGCAGTGCTCGCAGTGTATATCGGAACATACCCTTAGTTTCAATAAAAAAATCGATATGTTAAGTTCGATATATATCGATTACAGTTAACTTCAATATATCGCTTCACACACCGGATATATCGATATTTATTAATATATTTTAGGTCTTGAGAAAATTCAAAAATATCTTTTTTGTTTGTCACTAATATCACATGTGATGATGTAAAGATGTTATTGGATTTAAAAAAAATGTCCACTGATATACATTATAATTTTTCTATATATACTTTCAATAAACCTTTCGATAACTTTCGGTATCAATTTATCGAAATCTCTATTTCTTCGTTTACGTTTTAAAGTGATATTTTTAACGTTGATATATCGATTTATACACGATTTCAGGTATTATATCGTTACATGCTTATTTGTGTTGTGGTGTGGTTGTGTGTGATGTTGTCATGTCAAAGCAATATTAATCTATGTGTCAAAGACATGAACAAAATTTAACAAAAGATGTGAATAAACCGCAAAACAATAAGTCACAAGAAAATTTTAAACATTAGACGACTGCATCATGGAGAGCATTAAAGTAAGTTAGTATAGGTCCAAATTCATATACTCTTCATATTGTTTTGTTTACTTATTTATCATATAGAAAATGTTGTTGTTTTCAGACTTTTTCTGTATCTCTTATCAAAGGTTTCATAGACAGCTTACGTGGTGTAACTGTGCTCTTGTATTTAGATAAGGAAATCAATGAGAGAGCTTTGAGGAGCTCCCCTTTAATAGATGTGGACACAAAACAGAAGAAACAGACCAAACCAAAACAGTGAGTCCTTTGTACTTAGTTACGCAATGAAAATACCACATGGTAATAGTTTCACTGTACACACAATTGTACTTCTTAATGTATAAACAACAGTATATTATTTTACTACAAAAGGCAAACTTCTGCAATCAATTTTGGATTTAACACTTGAGAGATTAAGGATAAAATTGATTATAGAAATTTTGTGTTTTCCCATGTAATTATTTTATCTGCTGTTGATTGTACAATTAAAATATTTGATTTACTCAGTACCTTTATTTCTGTTATGTCTATACTATCACATTTTTTTTATTATTACCTATTATTAATTACTATGTTAGTAAGCTATTAGAGACCAGGAAAGTTGGAACAGCATTGGTCCAGTTAGTCATTGAAAAAATCATTTCAACATTTTAATGAATTCAAATTCTTAAGCACAATTCCAGCCTGATAATTGTGTCATTTTTTCCAGAAGATTCTATATTAATATTAAAACTAGTTATTAGGGTATAAAAAATCAAAAGACTACCCCTGTCTATCTCATTGCATACTTAACTATTTTTAAATGCATTTAATTTATCTTAAATAAATATGAATTTCCTATTTCTTTTAGGGAATCAAAAGTACTTACAAGGGTGCTACAGTCATGCATCCTGAATGGATTTATATTTTTGCTAAGCATATTAGTGTTTGAGTATGCATTATTGCCGGCGGTGAAGTACTTAGTGATCATAGTGTTTGGTCACAATCCGGGTGTGGCTCACAATGTTTGGGCGTGGATGCAACCATTCCTCTTGATGACATTCAGAATGATATGGGTACTGCCATTGTTTTTGTTGAGCAAACTCGTAAACAGTTTGTGGTTTCAGGTGAGCATTCAACTATTTTATTATTATGTTGATTTTGAGAATTAAATTGCAGGCTGTGACTAGTAATGGGTATCAATCAATTCATTATTAAGCTTTATTTAGATGATTATTACCAGCTTTTGCATTGGAGTATTGTTGGCACCCATGTTTCATTGGTATTAAAGTAAATTTCTTGCATTTTAAAGTCTCCTAACCAGACTACCATATAATAATTTACTATCAATGAGTTCCTCATGTTCTGGAAGGCTTAATTGGCTTCCTTAATTTGAATAGCATCTGCAGTTGTTAGTAACCCCCAATCCTGCCACTGCTAGGACAGGGCTTCTCACAAAGCATCCTCCGACCTGCTTTGTGAGAAGCCCTGTCCTAGCAGTGGGTATATTCATAAGCTGATGATGATGAAACAATAATACCATTGTACTGATTGTACTAAGAGCAATTTTTGTTTTTATTTTTTTTTACAGGATATCGCAGATTCTGCTTATAGACATAGACGAGGTCGGCCACAGTTTATGTCTAGTGTCAGTAAGATAATTGCTGATTCTCTTTTCAGTTTGCTGGTGCAAGCTTTGTTTTTAGCTCAGGTATGTTTAATCAATAATTTACACAAAAAGATTTGTTTACTTTTATTTGTAATTGCATTTTTATTTCATTGCATCAAACATCAATTCAATTTCGATTGGATGATGATTCTTTTGAAAACAATGATAATAATAATCTATTCATAAATAACATTGTTCCAAATATGGGTAGTATTACAGTATATTTATATGTATAATAGAGTAGCTCAGTGGCGTAGTGGATATACGCCACGGTACGCGATCGTTTTCGTTAAGCAACTTTCGCAAGGGTCGGTCACGGGATGGGTGACCAAAAGATTTATTATCTCGAGCTACTCCGTGCTTCGGAAGGTTGGTCCCGGCTGCATTTGTATTCGTTAATACCCGACAATCCGCATTTTGCCAGCTTGGAGGGTCATGGCCATGGCCCATGCTCTTTAACCGTCCATATGGAGTGAGGACGAAATAAAGGGCTGATGATGATGATGATGACGATGATGACGATGATGACGATGATGATGATGATGATGATGATGATGATGATGATGAGCATATAATATAGCTTTTATTTATATAACATTTTATTTGCATAGATAAACATTTAGACAAAAGACTGTCTTAGCTATGGTTGGCTGCTAACTCTTGGGTAGGATTTGTATTCATATCTACAGGTCCAAAAAATTATTGGCCAATCAGGATTATATAAAGCCATCGAGAGATGCACGCGCTTGAACACCGCCGAGTATGAGTGAGATGGATACATTATAAACGTGTAAATACCTTCACCATGTGCTATATTAGTCTTATATCTTACTGTAATAGTAAACTTTGATTTTCCGTAGAGCATTCTAGTGAGTATGCTGCCCATCACGTACGTAGGCGATCTATTATGCCTGGTACATATGTGCCTGCTATACGCGCTGTACTCGTTTGAGTACAAGTGGTTCAACATGGGCTGGGAGTTGCACAAGAGACTCACTTTCATTGAAACCAACTGGCCTTACTTCTTGGGCTTCGGTTTGCCTTTGGCTGTGCTCACACAAATACCACAGTCTTATATTATAAGGTTTGTCTTCTGCTTTCTGATTTAAATATGTTTTTTCTCTTATATTTTCATGCATAAAATAAACTACTCATCATAAACAACTACTCATAAAATAAAATTAATATTAAATTATTTCTTACGTGAGTCTTAGACCAAAATCTTAGTGTAAGTAAACCAGAACCTGTAAAATATCTGTTAACTGAAATATTTTTTCATAAATACACACTATAAAACCATCAGAGAAGGTCTTTGTCATCCATCCATATAGATGGACTGTTTGCCAGTGGCGGGGACCTGGTGAATTAAAATGTTATTTTTTATTTATGAAAGAATAAAAAAGGTATTACTGTTCTAATAATGAGGACTTATAAAAAGAATTGTGTATACTAAAGAGACTGTAACAAATTAATGATTTGTTGATTTTTTTAAAATTGAGATGCCAATTTTTTCCAAAATAATATCAAGATTACTGTATTTGTAGAAGGAAATAAAATATCTGTTCTGTTAAAATTAAGTTCATCTAATTGTTTTTTATGTTTTATTTGACATTTTATTTTGCAATGACTATGTCTTAAAGGTCTAATGTTGTTATTTTTCTTTCAGCGGTTGCGTGTTCTCTATATTCTTTCCAGTTTTTATATTAAGCGGCAACGAAGCAAGTCCAGTTGCTGGATGGTAAGTTTTATTTTATGGCTACTAGTTATTGATGCGGCAAAGAACGTATAAAAACCAGTTAGCTAAATTCACTCTTGAAAAATCTTAAACTTTAATTCGAGAGTACACATAGAAAAATATCCATACTTTAATAAATAATATTAATAATTGTAAACTAATAGTACAACTAGTTATAGGCTATTTTTTTTCCTTAATTAAATTGTAATGATTACGCAAGTAACACTCGTCGTAAGCAATAAAAATAATTATCTGTCAAACTGACACCATTCATTAGAAAAATTGGTCGTTTTGTAACATACAATTTCGAACAGATTTGTATGAAGCATTAATTAATAGTATAACCATCTATATACAGTTTTTTTTTTGTTTTTATGTAAGAAACTAGTGATCCTATTTCATAGATAATTTAAATTAGACCTTTTTAATTAGAATAATTCGCGTGCGTGATCCCTAGTAGGGAATGCAATCTCGAGATATCGGGGCTCGGGCGAGATCTCGCAAGTTTATGAATATCAATGCCGCGAGATCTCGCCAATTTCGAGACGGCTCGCTGATGGAAAGTTACGAATAATTTTTTGAATGTAGCTTCTTATGAAGTACAAAATCTCCAAAGATTCTCTTGCTTATTTTCTTCTTATTGAGCTGGTCAGATAACCAGCCGCAGAGAAGGCCCTTACGGAAACAAAAGGACTGTAAAATTTCGCCTTTTAAACCCTCGACATTTGAATCGTCCAACATTTTTTACTTATAAACTATTCAGGAAAACCCTTTTGCTGGATATAAAAATAGGCGTATGAAATGTAGCTCACAAGAGGTAACCTCATTTATATAAACTTATATTAATTTTAATATTGGTATCTATTTTATCTGTAAGAGGCTGTGAGTAACTAAATATGTCGAGTACTTGGCAGCTTTACTCGGTTCAACTATACAAGTTTCAAGTATAAGGTTCTAGCATTTAAGTGCTTATATGCATTCTAAATATATTAACATTCTAATTATACTCAATATAAATATGTGCACGCTAAATAACAATAAGCTAATTCTGGAGAACAATCTTTTAGTTGTAAGGCCTCATGTAATAACCCAGTGTTATTATCAGTGGTCGGAATTAAGTAGAGTTATTCATGTACTTACACTGATTTCATACAGCGAAAGAATAAAGTGGATATACCTCAAATCCCGAGATTAATTTTAAAGAGCAGAAAAAAAATCCCGTGATTTATTAAATAAAAAGTTATTAACTTTTACACAATTTAAACTACTGCACGCACGACGTTGCCAAACTTACATCAATGACATCGGATGTCCAAAGTTGCAAAATACCAATACACGCGATGTTGCCACATTTGTAGGGAAGGTCCACATTAATATCAACATTTCGATGCAAGTACATAAATAACTCTACCTAATTCCGACCTCTGGTTATTATGTAAATAAATTGTTTGAATTTGAATATACAATAGAAGACCCTCAACTAAATAAATCACGAGGTTATAAACAATTGCTCTTTTACAGTGAATATCCTCTACGATTATTCTCACCGGTGGTTGCGATTTCAAATGGAATGTTCCGTTTCGTGAAACAGGGAGCCGAAGCTGTGACCCACAGGAGTAGGTGATATAACCTCCGCTGCGAATGACATAAGCGTTCTATCATATAGTTACCATACTGTTTCTATTCAAAGAGAGGAATATAGATTTGTAAACAATCTTTTGTATCTTTTATTATTGAAAATAAAGTTTTTTTTTTTAATATACAATTTGTAGTGATTTTGTGTTTAGCTTAGTTATATTCAATTATATTTTACTTAAAATTGATAAAGAGTTTGTTTACATTTTTATATTTAAATAATTTGAAAAATACTGTATGTATAATCCTTACATGACAAGAATAACATCGAAAATATACAGTTTGTTACTGTGCAGTTGTCTAGTGACCTTAAGCTTGTGTCTTTAAGATCTATTTTCCAATACATTTACTTTTCAAATTATTATTTCAATTTTATGTAAGTAATATACAACGATTTTGAACTTACATTTCATCTGTTCTATTATCATGCCATGCCCGTTTCTAGTTACACTTGTATCCAGAGACGAGGAAGTGCCATAAAGGATGGTCTTAATATACGACCTTCCTGGACGAGTAGCATGACAAACTCGAGAAACGCTTTGATTACACCAAAGTCACTTTTCTCGGGTCGTTAGTGAGATAGCGTAAGGAAAGTGACCCGAAAGAAAGTGACACTTAAATGTAGGGGTTTAATCATAACGTACTCGAGTTTGTCATGTTACGCTTGCTGGACATTATTTAAGGTCGGTTGCACAAACTTACTTTTACAAAACGAACGTGTTAAAGTACCGGTTATGTAAAAAATTAGATGCACCATTTGGTTAGATGACGTCACAACATACTGTTAACTATAACCGTCCAAGCTGCGCTGGTAATTATTGTTTTACTATGCCAAGAAAGAGGATGGTGCAACGCATTCTGCAGTTAAAGTTGCATTTGATTTAATACTTAACTTTCACTGTTATTATTCTTTTAATGTTGGCTTATGGTTTTTATTATTTCTGACATCAATTCCGTTTCATTTCTTTACCATAATCGAATTAGAATTCAATCCTCTGAATATTTTACCGAGCTCTTAGTGTACGTTTTTTTGACGTTTACGTTCACTGTCGATTGTGAGTGCGTTAAGATTTTAGTATGGAATCTGGTTCAGCGGTAACTACCAAGAACTACAAATCTCCATACAAACTCTTAACGCGCTCACTAGTGAACGCGTTAGCGTAAAACTTACACTTACCACTCAGAATGAGCTACAGGAGGCCAATTCTACTAAATAAATTTTGTTTAAATCGAATCGAAAACGGATCGAAACCGTACAGTTGTAGATCAGATTGATCGCATTATATCGGAATGTGATATCAGAAACTATAAAAGCGATTCTCAGCGATATAAAAGGATACAGCGCCAGATAAGTTGTTCTGGTTAAACTCGATTTACGTTTCAATAAGTACAGTAGCGAGTTAACGTGTGACATCGGCGAATCAACTTGTAATTGTCATATGAATGACAAAAGCGATTCCTGTAGTAAGCCGTTTATTGAGTTGAAAAAATCGCGATAAAATTTTTTGGGAAGTCTAGTGCGAAATAACTTTGTCGCGTTTCCCGCACCCCGCCAAGTTGCAAAACTCGCGGGCATGTATACGTGGCAATTTTTTACAGTATAATTTGGATAAAGCGGAGAAGTTTTTGTTTTTGATGAAAAAATGAAGTGGTTGGATAATACTACATCTAAATTTGTACAAGAATAATGGACTCAAATGAGTGTGAGTATAATTTTTTTTTTGTATTCGAATTATCAACGTGAGTAGTCTCTTCTCGAAACGGCAACTTATTAGAACTTAACTCGCCTACGTTTGGACTTTACTTACAACTTACTACCAGTTACTTTACTGACTGATTTTATAACTCGCTTCTGTTTATTGATGTGTAAATCGACCTTTACAATGAGAGAACGAAAGAAAAAATCGTTTGTCTTTATAAATTTATCGTGTACGTGTTATATGTTATACTACCGCAAGAGGCTATAAGAGATACTTAAAGGGGACTTGTGTTATTTTTTAACTATAAAAAAAGTTAAAAAACGAATCGGTTAAATAAATAGGTATAGTGTTTGTTTTATCCTGTTTTAAATTGATCATTTTCTGTCGGTGTTTATTCGAAGTATTGAATTGTGCAAAATTTGTTTGAGTAACTTTTTATATGATGTAGTCGTGTAGCAGACTTTTTACTGTTTCTAAAAAGATTTATTTGGTTATTAACAATAAAAAGTCAATGGAAACTTGTTTGACAACTAATTTTAAATCGCTGGACGATTTACAGAAATTAATTCTTATAATTGATCAGTCTTAAATGTGTGTATATTTCTAGTCTTTTTTACAAATATTGACGATAAAAAATAATTTTGCACAATCCTGTACCTAATATCTTAGTTCGTAAACAATATAATGTGATGGGTATTTTTATTATATAATGCTGGTAAAATTATTTTTTGAAATTATTGGATAAAAGATTTCGATAATATTTTCTTTGTTGTAGGAATTAAGGTTGCTTATTGTAATTAATGTCTTTTTTCTGTGGTATAATATGAGCTTGTTTGATTCCTAAACCACTACAGGACTTGTTAGTTTAACAACTGGTAGGTTTTAACGCCAGTAATGGTATTATGATTGTCGATTATTAATATCGACTAATAATAGCTTTTTTAAATCGGTTAATCGAAACTTCATTCAGGGAAAGTAATAGTTAATGTTCCATAATGGTTTAGAAATCAAATTGGTTAGCTTATATGTGTATAAGGGTTATTCCCAGTTCTCCGATAGGTACTCCGATTAGTGGGAACTGTGGGATTTTTTATTCCAATTCTTCTATTAATGGGTTTGGTAGGAGGAGCGGGAATACTTTTACCCATGTATAATATTATGGGAAGTAAATAAAAAATATTCTGTGAACTGTAACAGCTTCCTTATTATAAGGGAGACTTAAAAAAAAAGTAACAACTAGATCATGTTAACATTTATCGGTGGGTCTGTTTTATGAATTAGAAGGCGAAACGATCTTAGGTCTTATGTCGTTTAGTATTCAATATTCAATCGCCAATAATTGGGCATATGTTATATCTTAACCGTGATATTTTTTATCATTACGACCTCTGTCGTGTTTACCTGATTATATTGTTAGGATTATTTGTCATCATGACATAATAAGCCTTGGTCATGAAGTGGTTTTAATACTTATTTGCATTTAAATACAGAAGTCGAGAGATTTCTTGTCTTCCAAAAGATGTCTAGCTTGCGTGGCGTAATAAACTCGGGAGACTAGAAACGGGCGAAAGCCAGTGACTCGAGGAACCGGCAAGTCAGATATTGTATGGGTGTATCACACTCTCGACCAGTTTCTCGAGTTTCTTGAACACTTCTCGAGTATCTCGAGGTCCTCATGCCATGCGAGCTGATCGTGACGTATATGATAACGGCTTTGTTTGCATCTAGTTAATTTTAATTTCTTGCGCCCATTTCATTCTCGACTTGCGAAGAATAACATTTAGATGTAGACGAACGTTTTACGAGTTCGTCATGCTCCTAAGCCCTCACTTCTTTTGGATGACAAGAAAAATGGACGCAATAAACTTATAAATTCTTGACGTAGTATCTAATAATATTTTTAAACTCACACGATTTGTATACATTATAATTATATGTAATCGGGTCTTATTCGTGCATTTTTTAAAACTATTGGTCGTGGTCACGAAACGTCGAGGTAAATTAATAGTTTTAAAAAATGCACGAACAAGACCCGATTACATTAGATTACTATCTAATGACACATACATATGATTGTCAAATCAATATCAATTGCCCCCCACCCCCCTTCAACTTTATCCGGGCCTGCTGAATGTTTATTATAAAAAACACGTAGCAAGTGTTATATCATGTCCAATAGAGTCCGTTCGAATCTCAAAGTGGAATCACGTACAATGAACAGCACACCAGCTTTATACACATAAAATCAATCAAAATTTCTTCATTTTATTTTAAAGCTTAATGCGATGACATTATAGTTGAAAGGCAGTTGTGCAGATTTTATATCTTGTGATGACCTGTTTGCTTCTGTTTGTAAGTACATCAATTATCGATATAACACAATGATTACAGTTTTTAATTTAATAATATTACTTTATGAACATTATATTTGTATTGTGAATCTTTGTCTCTGCATCAGTACAAATTATTTTATATCTGGGACTACATATTTATGTATCTATTTTTATCTAACGTCGCAGCTGTATGTTACTTTTAAAACTATGATTTACTTAGTCATTTGTATATTATGTTCCACGATGTGTGTTATTTTAAGACTGCCTTCACTTAAAGACGTTTTAGTCGCTCGGCTTAAGTATTGACAGTTCTACATATATGACAACCACGCGGGATCGTTACCATACATATGACAACCGCGCGCGATTTGTCACCCATACATATGACAACCGCGCGCGATTTGTCACCCATACATATGACACCCGCGTAACTGTTATACATATGACACCCGCGTGACTGTTATACATATGACACCCGCGTGACTGTTATACATATGACACCCGCGTGACTGTTATACATATGACAGCCGTGCGTGACATAACACGCCTTTATTTGAAAGCGCACTAATGGTGTCTAGATTTATTTGATAAATTGTTAATTTTATTGATCCGTAAAATTAATGAATATTTATATAGTAAGTATATAGTTATAAAATGAATGTTTTTTGTAACCATTCTCATTCTCTTTTTAGAGTTGCCTGAATATGTGATTGTTTTTTTACATGACATTATTTATTAAAGGGACTGACTGATTATTTTATTGTTTTATTTATGGGTATTTATCATAAGTACAGGAACTTATCTAATCTGTTTCAGCCGTTATCTGTTAATAAATTAATTGCTGAAATTTTGTCTTTTGTGGTAATCTGACTAGAACTCGTTTTACTTGAGTGATTGGTTCGCCAGGCTAGGTGTCATCCGGAACCTAATTTGTGACATATCAAGACCATACCAATTTCTTACAGAAAAGCCATTGTCGTCCCTGAAAAATTAATTCCTATTAATATTATAAAAGCGAAAGTTTGTGAGGATGCATGTAATTTAAAGGAAATATGTCAATCTTAATCTTAAATTTAGGATTTCAATTTTCCAGTTGCATACCGATCAATTTATGATTTAATCGGCAGGGGCAAGGGCAAGACGGAGATTGTTACGTTTGAAACTCAATAAATCAAGATATTAATGTAAATTTTTAGGGTTCTATACCCTTTTTTATACCGAAGGGATTGACCTTAACATGCCGTCGACCTGGACGAAAGGCCGACTGAACCCGGGCTCTCCTGCTGCGGAGGGTTAAAGAACCCCCTATATACAGCAGGCCTACCGTGCAAAATCCCCTTTACCACTCTCGCGTATAGTCCGGTACCCGGTTTCTTAAGATAAGTCTCAGGTAGA